AAACGTTAAAAAAAAAAAAAAATTTATTCTTGAGACAGAGAGAACAAGCAGGGAAGGGACAGAGAGAGAGAGGGATAGAGGATCCAAAGCAGGCTTTTGTGCTGACAGCAGAGAGCCTGATGTGGGTCTTGAACTCATCAACCTTGAGATCATGACCTGAGCTGAAGTCAGATGCTTAACTGACTAAGCCACCCAGGCACCCCAGTGATGCCCTATTTTTAAGTTTATATTCAGTACTTACGGTTTTTCTATTTTTATTCCAATAACCAATTGCTCTTCTGATAAGCATTATAGAAAAATCAACTACTGCATTTCAGACCTACTAAAGAAAGCAGTGAAATGAGGAAATAATTCTTAACTAGAGTATCTGTTGTTGTTGTTGTTGTTAAACTCTGGGACACAGAAAAACGTAAGATACGGTATTTGCTGGCATGCCATATTTGCTCTCATAGGAAATAAAGATCAGAAAGTAACATATTACCAATTTAAACGTACTGTTTCAGAGAATCCTAAAACTAGAAGAAACTTTAGAAGTTCAATGAGGGCGAACTCCCTCCCTTTATCACAAATAAGTTGTAAAGTCTAAATGAGATGAGTGAATCATTTGTTTTTTTTATATAATGCTTTCAAAAAAACTTCAGGGGTGCCTGGGTGGCTCAGTTGGCTGAGCGTCTGACTCTTGATTTCAGCTCAGTTCATGATCTCACAGTTCATAAGATTGAGTCCCCAAGTCCAGCTCTGTACTGACAGCACACAGCCTGCTTGGGATTCTCTAATTCTCTCCCCCTCCCCCTCTCATGCTTGCTTGTGTGTGCACACTCTCTCTCAAAATAAAAATAAACATTTAAAAAAACTTCAAATATCTTTAGACATTATTGTGTAATCAACATTATCTCCATTGTGGTATAGGGGAAATGTAAATCCACTGACTGTAATATAGGGGAAGGCAAACTTTTCCTATAAAAGACTGAGTAGTAAATGTTTTAGGTTTTGCAAGCCACATATGGCCTTTGTTGCATTTTCTTTTTCTTTTTGAAAAGACTCTTTAAAAATATAAAAATCATTCTTTTCTCACTGGCCATACAAAAGCAGATGGGCAAGATTTTCCCTTTGCAAGCCATAGTTTGCTGACTCCTGGACCAGACAGTAAAATAAGAGGTAATGTGTCAAATCAATTTATAAAACAATGATAAAATCAGGAACAGAATTTAAATCTTCACATATCATTCAGCATATCATTCTACATCTATGAAATATCTCTACCTTACCTGAAACTCATCAAAACATAAGAGACATGCCTCTTCGCTAATTTCTTCAGCTATGGGAGCTATCGGATCATATGATTTAGCCATGAATCCCGGTTTCCTTTTTGGCAAACTCTGTTTAAGGCGGTGTATTCCTTTAATGGATAAAATTAAACACAAATCAAATATTGTATTAATAGTCCATTTTAGACAACTATAACATATCTTTTAAATCTCTAAATGAAATCTTAGCGTAAACATAAAAATTACGTGTAAATGCCACATAAAATCAAATGTGATTATTGAAAATTGGTTGCACTTTCTCTACCTCAAAATAAGTTGTTCACATATTAATGCATTCCCATGGCTGTAAGGACACTTTGTAGTCATTCCATCCCCCCTCTTTTCAATCACTTCAGAGATGACAAATGATAGGCTAGATGACAAGATGGTAACTAGATGGATCAACAGATCAGTCTTACTGCTGAGGATTTCAGAGATGGAGGCAGAGGAGGTGATCCTGCCCTACGTCTAGCATACATAATCAGGATGCTTCCTGGTCTCTAGCCAGTCCCACTTCACTCATTATATGTGTACTAAATGCTGAAAGTATTAGAAGAAAAATACAATGTTCCCGCCCTGGTGAGGTTAGTATAGCTGGTAGACAAGTAATGCAAAATGACATAACTTAAGAACACCAACAAAGCAGGGCGCCTGAGTGGCACAGTTGGTTGAGCGTCTGATTCTTCATTTTGGCTCAGGTCATAGTCTCAGGACTGTGAAATCAAGCCCCGACTGAGGCTCCCTGTTGAGCACGGAGTCTGCTTAAAATACCCTCCTCCTTCTCCCTCAGCTCCTCCCCCACTTGCACACACTCCCTCACACACAGAGCTCGCTCTCAAAAAATAAAAATAAAAATTTTTTTAAAAAGGAACGTTGACAAACAATAAAGCATGCCTACAAGTACATGAATGCCTACATGCTAAGGTAACACAGAGGAAAGGACCTAATCAAGAACAACTTCTCCAAATAAGTGAGTTTTTAACATTTCTTATTGACCTTTAGTAGAAGGAGAAAATACCTGACCTTCATATAGTAACCTCTCTTCTCTTACTGGGAAGTACTGATTTTGAATCTGTCTTTAGGATCAACTCTAAATACACTACAAATCATTTCAATATAGCACAAAACAAATGAAACCAAATAAAACCTTACTTTAAGCAAAATCTAATATTTTAAAAGATTAAAAGATTAAGAATTTTAAAAGATGAAGAAAAGTATTTTGTAGTGTTTGTCCACTTAAAAACCCCTTCTTTTAGATCATTTAACTTACTTTCATGAACATCTAGCATGAAACCATGAAAATGAACCCGTTTCTTCCTCTTCATTTCCACATAAGCATAAAACATGTCCATCACCATTGTTTTCCCTGTACCTTAAAAAAAAAAAAAAAAAAAAAACTATTAAACAGTATGTACTGATTGCTCTAATGATTGTTCATTAGCTTTGGGATAATGAAACCACACTCTTCTACTGGAAAGCTTAAGACTATGTTACTTTTTTAGAAAGGAGTGTTTATTTTTTATGTTAAACCAGCTAAAAATAAAATGTTGACATTGCTCTTTTCTGTTAAAATCCTGTTATTAGGAAATATGACATCTAGTTAACATTACAGGGGCTATTTCTCCCAGAGAATTATGTAAATAAACTGGTAAGATTTGCAGATTATTCATCCTTCAGTTTCTCTTCCAAAAGACATCAATATGAATAAAATAACTTTATCAATTAAATAAATATTTATGGCTTTATTGGGCCATACGCATGAGGAGTGGTCTTAGGCACTATGGGAAATTTGAAAAAAAAAATTAAAAAAAAAGAAAAGATTAGTATCTAACATAAATTCTGAAAATAAATAATACATGTATGTTAGAGCTGGAGAATTGCCAATAGAACACTTTTTCTGTAGGTTTATCTTTATTTCTTCTTGCACATCCTACAGGATTTCCTTTATAAATGTTGATATTATGTTCTCTTTAAGTTTTTTATTTTAATTCCAGTAAACACACAGAGTTAAATTAGTTTCAGGTATACAATACAGTGATTCAACAATTTTATACATCACCTGGAACTCATCATGACAAGCACACTCCTTAATCCCCATCACCTAGTTTATTTCACACATCCCTCCACCACTTCTGCCCTGGTAACCATCAGGTTCTCCATAGTTAAGAGTCTCTTTCTCC